AAGAATATCTGAAACAATTATTAGGAGCACTGAGTAGCTGATCAGGGAAATGCTCAAAAACTCCTGGGTAGGGCTGAGAGGCCCCATCTTCATATTACTGACTTGACTCTTCACCATTCAGGTCTCAGCCTAGTTACTGCCCCCCCAGAGAAGCTATCTCTGACCATGCAATCTAAAGTAGATGGCTTCTCTTTTTATTCTCTATGAGAGAATTGTGTTTTTTCCCTCAGAGAACTGATCACAAGTTGTAATTCCATATATGTTTGTTTGCTCCTTAACTACAGTTAAGAAAGAAATAAGTCCCACTGAATTATATGATCCATGAGAGCAAGATTCCTGTGTTAATTATGGTACACTCAATACCTAACATAATGCCTGGCACACAACAGGTGTTTAATAATTTTCTTCTTCTCTGGTTCTTCCTTCCCATACATTTTACTTCTATTGGGCCTCTTCTGAACCCACTAGTAACTCCTTTCACACATACATTAAGGATCTTCTGCTAAGGACCCTTGTACAAACGAAAAATGGAAACAGATCCTGAGTTAGGACCAATGTTTTCCTGTTCACACCACAAAATATATTTACACATTTTTAAAAAGATTTTATTTATTTGACAGGGAGAGAGAGAGAGAGAGACAGCACACAAGCAGGGGAAGTGGCAGGCAGAAGGAGAGGGAGAAGCAGACTCCCTGCTGAGCAGGGAGCCCAAAGCAGGGCTGGATCCCAGGACCCTGGGATCATGATCTGAGCCAAAGGCAGACACTTAACCGACTAAATCACCCCAGTGCCCCTATTTACACATATTTTTTAATGTTAGTTTTGTCTTTTACAGATGAAACTTTAGACTCTTCAGTTAATTAAGACTGATTTTAATCTTATAGTGACTATCACAGTGCATTACAAAATTTGCTCTCAAATTTTGATATCATACACATACATGTAGTAAAATAGGTTACTCCTGGCCTCTCTGGGTCATTCTACATTAAGTAAATTTTTCTAGTAACTAAGTTTAAGTCTCTACATTTAAGAGTAATAAAATTAAAAGAGCAAAGAATTTTAAAAAGAGCATGAGATCTAGAAATCAATCCTATGTTAAAAACCTGGTTTCAACATTTATTTGCTATTTGACACTAGACAAATTATTCCACAAGTCTAAGATTCCTTATCTGTAAAAGGAAGACTCCTTATCTGTAAAAGATACGATTCTTTATCTGGGGTGCCTGGGTGGCTCAGATGGTTAAGTGTCTGCCTTCGGCTCAGGTCATGATCCCAGGGTCCTGGGATGAGTCCCGCATCCGACTCCCTGCTCAGCGCAGAGCCTGCTTCTCCCTCTCCCTCTGCCATTTCCTCTACTTGTGCTCTCTGGCTCTGTCCATCTCTCTGTCAAATAAATAAATAAAATTAAAAAAAAAAAAAAGATTCTTTATCTGTTGTGTGCCAGGCACTATGTTAGGTATTGAATAATTATATTTCCCTCACAGGGATTGCTGTGAAGATTAAATAATATATATAAAAATCATTTTGTAAACTGAAAGCACTACACAAATGTCATTACTATATCTGAAGGAAATCTTTCTAGATTATCTTCTCCTTCTTTCAAAAATAAACATACTGAAGAATCACCTATCTTTTTTCCATGACCAATAATTGTACTTGCTACAATGTATTTAAGCTAAATCTTCCTTTACTGTCATACCATCCACTTGGGTTGTTAGTCGGCAGCCTGTGCCCTTCAGATTATTCTTAATTTGTTATGGTTAAAGAACCAAGCTAATTAGAACCATGTACATTTAAGAATATGCTGTAGGTTATCTACACTGATGTGGGTGCTATCTAGATGTATCTGTGGGAGGAGGTAAGCTTAGTATCCTCCTACTCTATCATCTTTCTCAGTACTCCCACTTAAGAATATGCTCTAAATGAGGGTTCCTCAAGGGCTTTTTTTTTTTATTTACTAGAGAGAGAGAGAGAGAGAGAAGACAAAGAGAGAGCACGAGCAGGGAGCAGAGGAAGAGGGAGAAGCAGACTCCCTGCTAAGCAGGGAGCCAGATGTGGGGCTCAGTCCCAGGACCCCAAGATCATGACCTGAGCAGAAGGCAGACATTTAACCGACTGAGCTACCCAGGCATCCCAAAGGCTTCTTTCAAGGACTAAAGTACAGAAGTCTAAATGCAAGGATTTTGCCCCAAAGCATTTTTTATTTCTTTCTGGTTTAGGCTATAGACAGCTGAGGTGACCAGCAATGTGACCTCCAGAGAAGTGGGGTACCGCTCGGGCAGTATAAGTCCTCAGTCACCTAGAAAGTCTAGTTGACTGTTCAAGGATGCAATCCATAATGTTTCAAGAAGTATTACTCTTTTTTTTTTCCCCAAAAGGCATTACTCTTTTCAATTTAATCCCAAAACAGAAGGCTAAACATGTCAAGGTATATCAGTTTAAATTAGGTACACAATATAACAGAGGCATTACCATTAGATGGCAAATATCTTATTCTGATTCCTAGCTTTTTTTTTTTTTTTAAAGATTTTATTTATTTATTTGACAGAGAGAGACATAGCAAGAGCAGGAACACAAGCAGGGGGAGTGGGAGAGGGAGAAGCAGGCTTCCCGCAGAGCAGGGAGTCTGATGTGGGGCTCGATCCCAGGACCCTGGGATCATGACCTGAGCCGAAGGCAGACGCTTAGCGACTGAGCTACCCAGGCGCCCTGATTCCTAGCTCTTAAACACACATTTCTTGGAAAACTTTTAGCACCATGACATAGAAAAAGCAATGATTATGACAAGAGAATCAAAGATCCCAATAAGTAAAACTCTTTAGCATTGGGCTTATTTTAATAAAAACTACTACCAATACCATTACTCCTTTGAATTGGGAAAATAAGAAAAAAATTTGAATGTAAATAAGTTAAGATTTTCTAAAATCATTATGTTATTAGAAAAAATGATATTATCAAGTCTAAAAGTGTTCATAGAATTTTTTTCCATTTTATTATGAAAATGTTCAAATGCACAGAAAAATTGATGAAACAACTTTTTAAAATTGTGACAAGAATCGGCAGTATGTTCTTTTGCATATTGTCAGTATTATCTACTCTTTTTTGTTTTTCAATTTTTTATATTTTAATTATTATCTATCTTAATCTACATCTGACAAATTCATAAGTTGAATTATAAACTTGTCATGTAACATACAACACAGCCTAGAAATACTGTAAGGCTTTTTTTCACAGATTGCTTTTTTAATTTTTATTTTTACTACTGAAGTACAGTTGACATACAATGTTATATTAGCTTCAGGTAAGTACTATCTACTCTTGTCTCTTTTGCAAAGAGGTTACTTCAGACCAGTTTTTGGGGAATGAGGCAGGAAATAACATTGGGGTGATACAAATGGGGACAGCATTTTCTCTGACCCTCAGTTTCCTCATCTTGAAAAGAAGAGGTAGAAAACACATTCTGATGACACTACTCTGGAGGATAATTTTTAGTTACACTTACTTAAAAACTACTTCCATTATTTTACCCATATAAAGCATTTGCCACAGAGCTAGTATATAATAACAAGTATCTAATAAATGTTAGCTGCTATTATTAGCTATCAGTAGTTATAGTTCAAAAAGAATCTATATAATAACAAGTATCTAATAAATGTTAGCTGCTATTATTAGCTATCAGTACAGTTCAAAAAGAATCTGGCAAATTAAAACTTTAGTTAACATTTATTTTTTTGATTTACAAGATTAGTTATATGTATATATATTTAAATTGAATATGTTAAGCATAGTCATTAAATTGAGACCAGAAAGAAATGAAAGCACTGACATCATCTCTTAAATTACTGTGCAGTTTTGTAAGGGACCTTTAACTTTACCATATGTAGTACCTATTGATATTAACCCAGTTCCTTTGGCAGGCTGAATTCAAAGAGACTACAGACTTGAGCAATTTAGTGAAAACCAAGGAGTTCAAACATCTTCTTTCCAAAATTATTCCAAAATGCCTCAATTACACCCTTATTTCTCCCACCCTTCCTCAGAATGCATTATCTGGATTCATACATTATATATATAATAAAGCCACAGCAAAAGTGTACAGCATTATCTGGCATCTAGGAACAGGAATATCTCTAATGTGGATGTAGGAAGATTGTGTGGCAGTGAAAACAGCACAGATTTGGAATCAGACAGACTTTCATTTGAACTAGGACTCTACCATTTACCAGCATTACGACCTTTAACAAGTTACTTCTCTGAATCAGTTTCCTTATCTGTATACAAATGGGATAATAATGGTTATTTTATAGGGTTTTTGAGAAAATTCAAGGAAAACATAAAATGCCTGGCACGTAACAATCAGTAAATGATATTATTATTGTCACATATTCATTCTATTTTATAGTTGTTGACAAATTATATTTCCTACTTGAAAGAGTTTATAAGCCAGAAATTAAAAAGGCATTATGTATTTCAACTTAAAACTTAATCAGAAACAACAAAAATCCTCTACATAAACAGAATTCCACAGATAAGACTTTCTCAATTTATTTTCAAAATTTGTTTTTGAAAACAGAAGTATTAAGTTAGCTGTGCTTTCCCAATTCAAAGATCAAAAGCAGAAACTCGTTTTTCCATAATTGTATTTATTTATTTTTCCCACTGCCAAATGAAGATGTAAGGTATTTTATACCAGCAAATTTCTAAAAGGGTATCTTGAAAGATAAGTTATTTTTGCCATGGGAAAGGCAAAAAAAAAAAAAAAAAAAAAAAGAAGAAGAAGAAGAAAGAAAAAAAGCAATTTTCCTAGACAGAAAAGAAAAATACTTATTCCAAATTACATAGTAAGTATCAGGACAGGCAAAAATAAATGAATTCCTTTTCCTGGAATTAGACTCATCTGGCCTTTTCTAAGAAAATAATTAAATGGCCACAGCAGCACTTCAAAATCCAATGCCAATTAACAGCACATAATTCTTAGTTCCTCTGCTTATTTTTTTTACCATGAAAAGCCATGGTCTGAAGCAGTCGATCAGCCACCTCCTGTGGGAATACTCCAGGTTCCTGCAGACACAACGTTCCATCTTGTCTTGCTGAACAGAACTTCTCAAGGTGAGTAGTCAGGAAATTCAAGCAGATATCAAGTAAGGAATAGGGAGATGCTTCCTCCTTGGAACCCAGGAAAAAACATAAAGGGAGCACAAAAGCCAACAAGTTAGTTTCCAGAAAAGTAGAAAACAAAACATTCATTTACTCATTCAACAAGTATTTTTACTCAGTGTCTGCCATATGTTAGATACTGTGTTAGGCAGTGGGAATATAATAGGTAACCCATGTTCTCAAGAAGAAGAGAAACAATTAAACAAGTATTTACATAAAGTACATTACATACTATATTAGAGGTCATATTGAGTAGTATGTAAGTACAAGCAGGGTGCCCTAATCAGTCAAGGATGGTCAGGGAAGACCTCAGAGGTATAGCAGATTAATCTTCCTAATTTACTACCCATGACCCTCCCCTGCTCAAACCTTCCACAGACTTCCATGGGCCTGAAGACAAAAAATAAAATTTTTAGATTGTTGGACTGATGCCTGAGTCCTTTCAAAATCTAGACCAAATTTACTCTCAAATTTCTCTCTCACAAAATCCCCATCCCAATCTGATAATTCAAATATGATGAATTTGTTTGGGCAAAAGAATTTGCTGTAGGTGTTAACATCCTCAAAACAGAAAAAGGTTAACCCTGCTATTCCAGTCTGAGGAATAAAGAACTAATCTTATAAATAAGCACAAAGATTTAAGTGTAAGGGTTTTAAGTACAGAAACAAACACTGTAAATGTCTCCAATAATAATATAATTAAAATATAATTATAGTAGCTATCATCCATTAGGTGCTTTCTTTATGACTGTGCTGAGTATCTTATATGAATTATCCACTACTTTGGTGATGCCTTTGTTAATTTCCCAAGGCAAAATTTTACTCTCAGCACCCGACAAATTAACAACAGCTATTAGGTACTGAATGACAGCTATGTGGTACTAGGCACTAATCTAGCTTCTTTATATATACTTGCAATCTTCAAAAGTTTGTTTTGAAGAAGGCAGACAAACAGGCTCAGAGGGGTGCCTGGGTGGCTCAGTCCGTTAAGCCTCTGCCTTCAGCTTGGGTCATGATCCCTGGGTCCTGGGATGGAGCCCCACTTTGGGATCCCTGCTTAGCAGGGAACCTGCTTCTGCTTCTCCCTCTCCCTCTGCTGCTCCCACTGCTTGTGCTCTCTCGCTCTGTCAAATAAATAAATAAAATCTTAAAAACAAAACTGCGACTCAGAAAAAATAATTTACATGTCAAAGATAAACAGCCAGCAGATGGCAGAGGAAGAATAAAAATTAAAACAGCTATTTTTCATGAAACACTAAGCCTCAGGTCCTGGTTCAGAGTTCTTTAGATACATGAGTTCTTTCAATTTTTACATCCTAGGAATCAAGCAGCATTATAATATGCATTTTAAAAATGAAACTGAGGTTTAGGTTAAATATCTTCCTTATATTTACATGGCCAACATGTTGCTAAACTGGGACTCCCAAAACAAGAATGAGGCCACAGCCTATATTTTTAAGTTTTTAACCACTATGCTATCATAATATTATAATCATAATTATTGAGCTCATACTACTTGTTAACATATGCTATATGCTATAAACTATGTTAAGCACTTTACATATATAATTTAATTTACTTCTCATAAAAATTCTATAAGTTAAATTCTTTCAATATCCCCATTCTACAAAGATGAGGATACTGAAGTTTTGAGGCGTTAAGTAATTTACCTATGATGATACAGCTAAGAAGCAGCAGAGCCAGAATTAGATCCCAGGCGATCTGACTGTAGAGTTCAGTTTGTGCTTTAATAAATCACTACAGTGGCTACCATTTATATCTGACTCCAAATCTAGGATTCTTTTACAATCCCATGTTAATCACAGTTTTTTATGACTGTATGTCTCCCCAACTAGACCATGATGTTCTTCAAGTTCAAGGAACCTATTAACGCTTTCATTATATCCCTAGCACCCAGCATAGTCCCTGACGTTTGCTGGTTCAAAAAAAAGGAGTTCAAATTAGAAGACTAGTAAAGGGACTTGCCCCATGTCACAATATTTCTTTTTTTTTTTTTTAAAGATTTTATTTATTTGAGAGAGAGAGAATGAGAGAGAGAGAAAGCACATGGGGGGGGAGGGTCAGAGGGAGAAGCAGACTCTCTGCCGAGCAGGGAGCCCGATGCGGGACTCGATCCGGGGACTCCTGGATCATGACCTGAGCCGAAGGCAGTCGCTTAACCAACTGAGCCACCCAGGCGCCCCCGTGTCACAATTTTCTAAGAAGTGGGGCCAAGGAATGCCTGGGTGGCTCAGTCAGTTAAGCGTCTGCCTTCGGCTCATGGCATGATCTTGGGGTCCTGGGATCAAGCCCTGTGGCGGGCTTCCTGCCCGGCAGGGAGTCTGCTTCTTGCCCTCCCCTTCATGTTCTCTTTCTCTCTCAAATAAATAAATAAAATCTTAAAAAAAAAAAAGTGGGGCCAAGACACAACCCAGATCTGTTGATATGAAGTCCATACCTCTTCCACTATACCATACCATCTCTCAGAACAATTATTAGTTTGGCACTAATATAAATTCCAAAAAACAATTTGGGGACCAGTTGGTTGTTATGATGGCTCAGACATGAGGTGCTGATGCTGTGGATTAGGGTAGAGGCAATGAACATGAAAAAAAAATCAAAAGTGAGAAATAATTTGAGGGAATAATTAACAACATGTAGTAAGCATTTCTGAATTCCCCAGTACCTCGCACAATGCCTGGCACTCTACTAAACAGGTGAATGTTATTTGAAGGATTGAGCAACATTCATACAGCATACATTTGACATATACTATCTCATTTAGCCCTCACAACAGTCTTGTGGAGCTGGTATAGTAGACACCATTTTGTATAGGAGAATACCAGAGCTCAGAAAGAATAAAAGACTCAAATTCATCCAGTTAGAAAGTGAAAAAATTGAGCCAAGGTATCAAGGTATTTAATTCCAAACATTACACCCTTTTTCTCATTTCACATAGCACCCTCTGGTGAGAGAGGAAGGGAGGTGGAGGAAGGGAAGCTGAGATATTAAAAAAAATAATAACTCCCAAGATTTAAAGTAGGAGTTAAGCAGGGTAACCTGGGAGAAAAAGTGTGTGTATATGTGTAGCAAGAGAGGAGCACGATGAAGCACATGGGATAAAATGCTAAACGTCTGGGCAATTTTGGTGACTGCTATGTGAGAATTCTTTGTATTATTTTTGCAACTTTTTATAAGTCTGAAATTATCAAAATAAAAACTTAGAAAATAAAAATTAAAAAAAATAATCTCACTGACAAAACTGATAAGAAGACTAGGCAAAGGATTATTTCTTCAGAGGAATTTGTTGTAGTCATAGAGAGTCAGTCTGTTCAGGCAAGGACAGAAAAGGAACTAAGGCTCTGGTGAAAGAACTGAGCTGAATATGCAGATTTAAATAGCATCCCCTAGTGGTGACAGCTGAACGGTAAGAATAGATAAATTCTCAGAGGCAGTGATCAGGAGAGATAACTAAGCCCTGTAATTAACTATCACAAGTACAGGGGGCAGAATGACATGGTCCCTGAACAACGGCTGAAAAAATACCCTACGGCAAATACGAAAAACAACAATTCCGGTATGAAACAACAGTGCAGCTTTTTAAATTTTTTTTTAGTTAATGTGTTTTCTGGAACAGGATATAATCCTGACAGTGAATTATTCAAATAAAGTTTGCCCAGATTGGTCCTCTCAAATACTGCTGGTCAGAGTGTAAACTGGCACAATTTTTCTGGATATGAAAGATTTAATAATCATAAAAACATCCACACTCTTGATCCAGTACTTCTTCATTAGGTAGAATTTACCTAAAAATGGTAAATAATCATAGATAGTAACAAAGGTATTTACATAAAGGGATTACAGTTTTTCTGTCAAAAAAATAAAAAAAAAAAAAAAAAAAAAAAAAAAATCCACACATGCAAATGTCTAAAATAAGAGAAAATGGTAAGCAAATCATGGTATATCAATTCTTTTTTTTTAAAGATTTTATTTTATTTTATTTATTTGAGAGAGAGAGAGAGCCCAAGAGGGGGTAGGGTCAGAGGGAGAAGCAGACTCCCCGCCCAGCAGGGAGCCCGATGTGGGACTCGATCCCGGGACTCCAGGATCATGACCTGAGCTGAAGGCAGTCGCTTAACCAACTGAGCCACCCAGGCGCCCTCAATTCTATATAATATTACACAGCAATATGTATGTTTCTGAATAACTTTTAATGACATAGCAAAATGCTAAGAGTAAAATATTACTAAGCTACATAAAAACAGTATGTAGCAGGATTTCAATTAAACATCTACACAGCCATAGGAAATTATATTGCCTGAAAAGTGTTTCAGGAGCTTAGAAAGCTACCTCTAAATATGTTGTGGTGTATCTATAGAGAAGAACAAGGGAAAGAAATGAAATAAAAAAGGATAGAGGATACCTCGAGGTTAGGGGGACGTGGCATAGAGGAACACACGGGGGAAAAAATTGCAGTGGTCATGTTCTATTTCTTAAGTTGGGATGCCAGGTTTTTAGATATTGGTTTATTATGTTCCATGACTTACATAAATGTTCATATGGCTTTCTGAATATATCAAATTATTAAAAATGGAAAAAGACAAAAAATAAAAACTAGTGGAAATGAAAAAAAAGCTGTTTCTGTTTTTTTAAGATTTTATTTATTTATTTGACAGGGTGGGGGGGAGAGCAAGCACAAACAGGGGGGAGCCGCAGGCAGAGGGAGAAGCAGGCTTCCCGCTGAGCAAGGAGCCTGATGTGGGGCTCGATCCCAGGACCCTGGGATCACAACCAGAGCCGAAGGCAGCCGCTTAATGGACTGAGCCACCGAGGTGCCCCTGTTTCTGCTTTTCAAATATTATAAGATAACCAAGAAACTATCATTTTATCAAAGATATTTTTCAGTATGTGTATTCAAACTAAAATAGACATTTTTATTAGACTCAGTAACATTTTAATTTTGAATGAAAACATTTATGTATATACACACACATACATATGCATACTTA